CGTACAATAACTAAAAATAAAAGATATTTATAATTTAAATTTTTTTGCCGGGTGATGCTTTTTTTTTGTGAGCCACGTGTATGTCATGTATATTTTCGGAGGTAATTTTCCTTCCCTAATATCTTTAATTTTAATCTGATTATGTAATTAGATTATAATCTTGGTTCGTTATTATCGTCACACTAAGAACATATAGATGACTTGCACATTTTACTTTACAACGATTTAAATCGAAATCACGAATATCGAATTAATGAAAATTACCCGTTAATTTATACAGAAAATTATCTTATGTTACATGACTGACATGATCTTCCTTCCTGAAAAGTAGAAAGATTCTATATAAAGAGAGGATGTTTATTATTCAATGATATTTTTTATAATCTTAATTAAATGCTTTAAAGTTCCTCAACAGTTATTATATAATACGCAAAATTCTCAAAAATCTCAACCATGAACCCTAAAAATAAATTGTATTTTTTAAAATCCGTTATTAAAGCGCAAATTAATTTCCATGATTCTCTATATTCTTACCATAGATCACTATATCTTTATCATCAAAGTAGCATCAACACAAAAACAGCTAATCCTAACCATCCTTTCATGTCTCATTTTCAAGAACATTTTACTCATGAAATCAGAGATTTCTATGGAGATTATCTTGAGCAAAATCTTATTTCTCAACAAGATAAAGATGAATATTTTCAAAGTAAATTGATTTGCTGATCATATGTTCAAATTCATTGCGGACTATTTCAATAAATTTTTTTACGGATTTATTTATTAACTTTTTCTTTTAGATTTTTTAACTAAGGAGAAATCAAACGTTAGTATGAAACTTTCTAATGAAAAAGAAGAAAAAAAGAAACCTCAATGGACTGAAGATAAAATCAAAAGGTTACTCTCTTTTTTGAAAGGCCGTAAGCATGTACTAAAACAACTAAAAGAACATCGTGGTGGTAGTGGTAATGCTAAAACTGAGCTTTGGATAGATGCCTCCAATGAGTTATCCAACATATTTAATCCTAAGCAATGTGAAATTAAGTGGAAAAATATTAAACAAACTAATAAGGTAAAATTATTTTCTTTAATAAACAAATTGAAAATATGTTCATTATTTAATTAAATTATTATCAATTAGCTTCAGCCCAATTATCAGTTTAAGAAAGATGTTGAAGCAATTCTTTTTCCGTAAGAGTTTTTAAAGGTTACACCCGGCGATCTATTTTTTATTAAAAAAAATTTGCACCATCTTTTTGACATTTGATGATCATTTTCTTAAACTATATTACATAATAATCATAATGGGTAATTATTAGAGTAACTTCACGGGATGGGTTATCAGAAATTACTTTGCATTTGATTGGTGGATTTTGCCACGAAGTGGCAAAATATCCAATCAAATGCATTGCTTATTGAGAACTGTGAAGTCATCGCCGATTACCCGTCGGACCACCCCCTGACCTGATTATTATAAATATTTTTATTCTTTACTATCATACATAATTATTCATTTACTTTATTTTTCTTTTACAATATTTATCCTTTAATTTATATTACACACGGGCACAATTGTTGCCAAATCAATATATATAAAAAATGAGCAAGAATGAATTAATGTAAACTTTAGTAAATTTAATTTCGTTATGATCATATCGTTTAGAAAGTCTTAATCCGCTATGCACATTTAATTATACATGTATATAATAATATTAAAATTATTACACTGTTTTTAATAATAATAGTAAATAGGATAATATAATATTTTTAAAGTAAATATTATATAATTAATAGCTTAAATTGTAATATCACGATCATAGTTTATATAAACTCTCCGTGACAAATTACTCCAGGCTAAAGTATAATAATCATAAATGGCCGTAAAATTATAATATACATCTTCACATGATTAAATAAAGTAATTATTCATTTTGTTATAAATCTTGCAGTAATGTTACATCTTTCGGCGACCGAAGGGAGCCTTATTTTCACTTGCATTTTAATATCCTTAAACATTCTCTTCACCACACCACACTCAATATTGCTCTTTTCGGAATATTTCGTGAATCATGATACCATGATTTACAAATAGTTCATTGACTTTTTCCCGTGTTTTATTAGCAGGTCTCCCAAGAAGTCTGAATTTTGTTCATCTAAATACAACAGATGGTTAGTTAGTACAAACTATTAAAAGAATAAAGATTTTATGATAACTTACCTTTGAAAAGTTGGTTAGCTAAATTATATTAACAATTCCCGGGTACTATTTTCATAAATAAAAATAAAAATAAATATATAATAAAGGAAAACAACATTCCGATATTGACTCATGATAAATAAAGCATGAACGAGTTTACAAAGTATCTAACGCTGTATATCATTTTTATATTATAGTCTGACCCTACGTGTCCGGAACTGTCCGAAACATTTAATTTGGAAAATCAAATTGAGCGAACTAGTTTCGTCAATGTTTATTTTATTCACACTTTATTAAACTTTTCGCCATTTTTTAGTCTTTCCATCGATTTCATCGAATCAATCCCTCTTTTTAGTCTTTTAAACTTTTTAAACTTTCATTCATATCGAAAATATAGAAGATTTGGTCGAACCTTGGATTTTGAAGATTACATTAAATCTGTGTAGGAAAATTAAAAGATAAACTTACCTAATAATTTGTCACGACAATTTGATAAGTGTATCCATCTTTTTTTCTACAAACAACGCCAGAGAAATCTCACACGTTCTAGATTATTATCTAATTACCGCCGGATATTTTCATAAGCTATATTGTATACATCTTGATTATATAATAAACATTTATTGTTATTTGTGGTATTTCGAACAGACTTTTCTGCGCCATACGTTACTGCGTCATTTGTTGTTCTGAAACAAAAAAATTTAGGTGTTTCGGTCTTTGTCTTACGGTTATTCATGTATAAGCTTCCGCCCAAATATGTATGTTAAGGACCGGCTTTCATTCTATAAATATTCTCATTTGTTAAACATGAATTTATAAACACAACAAAGCAATATTTTTTTTTTAAAAAAAAAAACAAAAAAAAATTTATAAGTAAAAAAAAAAAATGATTAAATGGGAATAAATTTAAATAAGAAATCTACAAGTCACAAGAAATTTTTTCATTAAGATGATTAAGACTGTTTCTTCCTGAATTCCGAGTTGATGATCCGAAATTGAACTTTGTGAATATTGATATTTATCTTGATATTACATTACATGATGATGATGTTCCAGAAGTAGTAGATATTTCATCATCAATTAAACTAGAAATTGATCTGTTTCTTCTATAAGAAGCTAAAAATAATCCTAAAACTTAGGAGGCTGGGTTAGATGCAAAAAAATTCCGTAACATTTGCTTGTATTCTTGGATTGTGCTGATTGTAAAAATTACAAATTATGCAATGAATTATAATACAATATCCTTTTTATCGTTTCTTACTCACTTAAGTTATATCTGTTTATGGCTTATTTTACGGTGAGTATCCGAGACCTTTTTTTAAACACGGAAATTAATTTCAAGAAAATCTCACTTATTTAAAATTAAAAAACAGACAGCGTTTTGTCATTCTTACCATTATGTAAGGAAAGATACAACAATTGTTCAGCATAAAATATTAGATTGGCTAATTTGTTTACTTTATCATTCACTAGCCCATTTCACGTTAGTATCATTTAATATTAAAATCTTTTTTCTAATAATTTATTTTCTTTGATAATAATTTTAACATATTGGATATTTTATAGGAAAATTTTGTTCAAGCAAATGCCCAACCGTTTAGTTGGTGGTTAAATATATCAGTACATGGATTGAACTTCCTCTTTGCCATAATTGAAATCTTTTTAAATCGTCAAATTATGGTTGCTTCGTTTGTCATTTTAAAATGTATGTTGAGTGACTATTTAGGAAAAAAAATCGGTCATAAAAATTCTTCTCTTCCGATTTAATTTGTTCAACTAATTCAAACTAAACCTGGAGATCATTTCTAATTTCATATTGACGTCATAATGGCGTAAACCATAAAAAATCTATAAATAAGGCCGCTTTTAAAATTTTTGGGGTTTTTTTATTTTTTTAATTTTTATTAACTCGCATAACAAAAGATGTTTCCAAATCATGGTTTCCCAATGTCAATAAATTCCTCAAACAATAATTCAAACGATAACTCCGAAAATATTGAATCGTTAGGAGAAAGCGTATCTCATGATGCGCCTTCAACTTCAAATCAATTTCTCTTTAACAACATTCGATTTGGTATCCCAGTATGCATTTTAAGAGCTCCAGAAGTTTCGAATCCTACCTCTGTCAAAATTGATGAGAACTTATCCGAGCAACAACAACCTTTACAATTTGATCAAACCATTGGAGGAAAATTTTGTGATAAATTTGCACTTCACGTCATATCGGTTGAGGATGATGTGAAAAATAATTTATATACAAATAGAGTCTCATATAATACACAAGAAAATGCTTATTATGAAAATGGTATTTTATTAAACAAATATATCAATGGATGGGAATCTGGAACCTATCAATGGGATAATATTAAATTAAAAAGAGAATATGATTGGCGGAAAACTTATTTAGCAAGAGATCCTTCTGAATCGAAAATGAATGATGACGGCGAGATCTCTTGGAAATTTGATTATCGTATGGGGGGTTTCATAATTAATTCTCTTAATATCAGATTATCATTTGGTACATTTGATAATTTCGCTCGTGTTAATTGGTTCATCATACCTTTACCTACGATAAAAAATCCATGCCCAACTTGGCAACAAATTCCATTTGATCCATACACAGAACCTAGACATTATGTAAATGAGATCAAGAACCTTACCCGATTTGTTAAAGATGAATATGGGTTTATACTAAGAGCTCATTTAAGTGGTGGTGATAAAACTTATGTTATATGGCAGAAAACTCAATTATTTAGACAAAATTATATTAACTCATGCGCAGGCATATCTTTGGACGTTGATGATGATGAGACTTTTGGATTGGATGTTAGAGTGGAATTAAAGCCTGATATCATTGTAGATCCTTTACCAGAATTAGAACCTACGATTGAGGCCAGCGTGGGAAAAGAAATTACGAATGAGAATATATCATACGTTTTGAATGATGAATCAACAAGTGATTTCGTTATCCATTTGGAAATTCCAATTAGTGATGAACAAAAGTCTGCGAGTTCCAATGTTTCCAATGTGGAGGTTAAAGAATTTCATGTAAATTCAAAATTATTATCAGCGAGATCTGATTATTTCAAAGCGTTATTGGAATCAAACATGATTGAATCACAAAATAAGTCCCTTAAATTATCTTATATTTCTCAAGAATCATTGGAAATGGTCCTTAATTATCTTTATACGGGTACTATCCCAGACACCCAAACTTTTGATGAATGGACCGAGTTGTTACACAGTGCTTCTAGATTCCTTATACCTGCTTTAATTCAAAGGTGTGAAAAGGCTTTAAAAGGTTATGTAAATCATGATAACTTGAGTGAGATTAAAGATATCGCTATAAATTGCGGTGCTGTTCAATTGTTACAATATTGTAAAATGTTTGAACCAAGGAATGATTAGATGACTTTTGACGTGCCGATAATGTTTTATTTATTGTTAAAATTGTAAAAAAAAATTTTTTTTTTTGTGAGACTGATGGTAAATCCTATCATTAATTTAAGAAGGTGAATAAAAAAAAAATATATATATCATGTACTAAATAATTTCTAATAAATTGCATTATAAATTGTAATGTAACGTACGGCGCTGCCTATAGTACCCCCTTGCAAAGTACCCCCCTGTGAGTAATACTAGGGTACAATTCAATCACAATTAGTGATACCTGACTAAACTCTTTTTTGAAAAATTGTAGTTTCGTCAAAAGTTTCGTCTCTTTAATATTTTTATATGAATAAATATAAAATTATTATA